TTCCATCCTCAGGACGAGGCCCGAACTCAGCGGTCCTCACCGCAGGTACTACAGCCATGCACTCATCTCTGAGCTACTAGAGAATATATCCCTCCTCACCACACTGCTTCCCTCTACACTCAGCTCCTTCTCAGCGGTCATCACTGTACCTGCCACCACACTGCTTCCCTCTACACTCAGCTCCTTCTCAGCGGTCACCACACTGCTTCCCTCTACACTCAGCTCCTTCTCAGCGGTCATCACTGTACCTGCCACCACACTGCTTCCCTCTACACTCAGCTCCTTCTCAGCGGTCATCTCTGTACCTGCCATCACACTGCTTCCCTCTACACTCAGCTCCTTCTCAGCGGTCATCACTGTACCTGCCACCACACTGCTTCCCTCTACACTCAGCTCCTTCTCAGCGGTCATCTCTGTACCTGCCATCACACTGCTTCCCTCTACACTCAGCTCCTTCTCAGCGGTCATCACACTGCTTCCCTCTACACTCAGCTCCTTCTCAGCGGTCATCACTGTACCTGCCACCACACTGCTTCCCTCTACACTCAGCTCCTTCTCAGCGGTCATCACTGTACCTGCCACCACACTGCTTCCCTCTAAACTCAGCTCCTTCTCAGCGGTCATCACTGTACCTGCCACCACACTGCTTCCCTCTACACTCAGCTCCTTCTCAGCGGTCATCACTGTACCTGCCACCACACTGCTTCCCTCTACACTCAGCTCCTTCTCAGCGGTCATCTCTGTACCTGCCATCACACTGCTTCCCTCTACACTCAGCTCCTTCTCAGCGGTCATCACACTGCTTCCCTCTACACTCAGCTCCTTCTCAGCGGTCATCTCTGTACCTGCCACCACACTGCTTCCCTCTACACTCAGCTCCTTCTCAGCGGTCATCACTGTACCTGCCACCACACTGCTTCCCTCTACACTCAGCTCCTTCTCAGCGGTCATCACTGTACCTGCCACCACACTGCTTCCCGCTACACTCAGCTCCTTCTCAGCGGTCATCACACTGCTTCCCTCTACACTCAGCTCCTTCTCAGCGGTCATTTACATTTACATTTACATTTTAGTCATTTAGCAGACGCTCTTATCCAGAGCGACTTATCACTGTACCTGCCACCACACTGCTTCCCTCTACACTCAGCTCCTTCTCAGCGGTCATCACACTGCTTCCCTCTACACTCAGCTCCTTCTCAGCGGTCATCACTGTACCTGCCACCACACTGCTTCCCTCTACACTCAGCTCCTTCTCAGCGGTCATCACACTGCTTCCCTCTACTCTCAGCTCCTTCTTGGCGGTCATCACACTGCTTCCCTCTACACTCAGCTCCTTCTGGCGGTCATCACTGTACCTGCCACCATCATTAATTCACTCTCTTCACATTCACTTTCCTCCTCTAGCTCTTCCAGAAGTTCCTCCTTCCATATTCCCTCAAAACATCTTCCACTTTCCTCCTTTCCCCCTTATCCTCCCTCTTCTCCTTCACCAGGTCTTCCAGAAGGCTTGTGCAATCCCCCACTACATATTTATTCGTAACATGTTCCACTTTCTTCCTGTTGTCCGCCATCTTCTCTCAACATCACACAGTGGACATGAATTGTGGATATGGCCACTGGGCTTCTTCTTCTTCTTTTATGATATCATGGCGGTCCGCAAACGATCGTTTAAGTGCATGCCACCACCTACTGTGCTGGATCAATCATGATCTGCCCAATTCTGTACTACCATGAAAATAACATTCAAACCAAATAAATCCCTACTAACGTCAACCACACCCCCTCCCCAAAAAAACCTTTCTATATAATTCTGAAACATTCCACCCTTAGGATTGTTCAGCATGTCAACAATCATTTCAACAGTAACATCTGTTACCCTCAAAATCCTATTTTGCCGTCTCCACAATAACCTTCAACCTGGCATTTCTGCTTTCCACAACCCGAGTCGTGTTGATAACCTTACCAATGAAATGTATTGATAACCTTACCAATGAAATGTATTGATAACCTTACCAATGAAATGTATTGATAACTTTACATTGAACAGCTACATGTCCTGTTCTTTGGCGTTTATAAATAAAGCAATGAGGGACAAATTCTTTAACATTGAAACTAAGGAATCCTATCTGTCCTTTTCTCGGCAAGACATTCTCAAACCTCAGCATCACTGATAAGCTTTCACTTCTTTGACCCTCTATCCTACTGATCAACCTTTTGGCCTCAATCACTCTGCCTCCCTTCACATTTTCTTTAATATCATCTGTGGACATAGACATTGGGACCCCAGTGATGACTCCCCTCAATCTAGCATAACCACCAGGGACATGGCTTTTAATCTTCTTCCCATTAAGCTTTTCCATTTCCAGAATCTTCTCTTGCTGAGCCTGGCTACCACACAATATTAACAATCTACCATTTCCAATGAACCAAGCTAATTTGACTTCACCTACCTCTTTCTCTGCGGCATTAGTTAGTCGGATAGGGTGTAAGTGAAGCTCAGTCCCCTGTAGCTCAGTTGGTAGAGCATGGCATTTGCAATGCCAGGGTTGTGGGTTCGATTCCCACAGGAGGCCAGTATGAAAATGTATGCACTCACTAACTGTAAGTGGCTCTGGATAAGAGCGTCTGCTAAAATGTAAATGAAGCCCTGTGGTCTCAAACACTTTCCAACACATCACTACTCTTGCTTCCTACCTTGGCCCTCTTTATGATTTCTTTACTAGATGCTCCACTGCTTTCTGTATCATGACCTCTCTTCTTCCTATGTCTTTGCACTACTAACCATTCTGGTCCTTGACCCTCATCCTCCCTCTCTATACCATCAGAACTGACACCCATATTGTTCGCATTCCAGCACAGCTGTTGCTTCACCAACTTGTTCTCCATTTCCTCCATTTCATCCGCAGCCTACCTCAGTGGGTTCGGCCTCAGTGGGTTCGGCCTCAGTGGGTTCGGCCTCAGTGGGTTCAGCCTCAGTGGGTTCAGCCTCAGTGGGTTCAGCCTCAGTGGGTTCAGCCTCAGTGGGTTCAGCCTCAGTGGGTTCGGCCTGTAGATTCTGCCACCAGCGTGTCAGCAGTTAGGTTCCAATGGGCCCGCCACTGGGCTTCCTCTTATCACCATATCTGGTGGTGAGTGGAAACCCCAACCGGATGCTTCAGATTTATACATCCGGTGAAACATCTGGCTCGTGGTTCTATCGGTGGCACAGGGGTGTAATCATTACGCTGATTCTGTTGCAAACAAGAGTTTTCTATTGGACAAATTCAGGTAGGTCCCGCCCCGTTTCATTCCGTTTGCTCTTTTTGCTTCTGTTTGGTTCTTAAACCCCACGGGTGTATTCATTAGTCGGGTTTCCGTTGCAAAAATGATTTGTCTGTTGCAAAACGTTTTGCTATGGAAACTGTTACTCATTTACATTTACATCATTTAGCAGACGCTCTTATCCAGAGCGAGGGGGGGGGGGGGAGAAGGGGGGGGGGTAGAAGGATAACTTTATACTATTCCAGGTATTCCTTAAAGAGGTAGGGTTTCAAGTGTCTGCGGAAGGTGGTCAGTGACTCCGCTGTCCTGGCGTCGTGGGGGAGCTTGTTCCACCATTGGGGTGCCAGAGCAGCGAATAGCTTTGACTGGGCTGAGCGGGAACTGTGCTTTCGTAGAGGTAGGGGAGCTAGCAGGCCAGAGGTGGATGAACGTAGTGCCCTCGTTTGGGTGTAGGGACTGATCAGAGCCTGAAGGTACGGAGGTGCCGTTCCCCTCACAGCTCCGTAGGCAAGCACCATGGTCTTGTAGCAGATGCGAGCCTCAACTGGAGGAGCGGGGTGACGTGAGAGAACTTGGGAAGGTTGAACACCAGACGGGCTGCAGCGTTCTGGATGAGTTGTAGGGGTTTAATGGCACAGGCAGGGAGCCCAGCCAACAGCGAGTTGCAGTAATCCAGACGGGAGATGACAAGTGCCTGGATTAGGACCTGTGCCGCTTTCTGTGTAATTTACTCCAAAGGGAAAACGTTTTGCAACGAAAACGAGAGTTTCTATTGGACAAATTCATCTAGGTCCCTCCCTGTTTGGTCCTGTTTGCTTCGTTTTGGTTCCTAGATAGTAAACGTTTGCAACAGACAAAACATTTTGCAACGGAATCTGACTAATGAATACACCCCAGGAGTGTTTGTCTCTCCCCCCCCCTCCCCCCCCCCCAAAAACGAGAGCTTCTATTGGACAAATTCAGGTAAATCCCTCCCCATTTCGTTCTGCTTTGCTTACGTTTAAGAAACGTTTTGAAACAAAATCGGCGGAATGAATACACCCCAGCTGTCACGGCACAGTCAGAGAGGTGGGAGAAGTCTCACAATGTTATAACTTAAAAGTTCTCTAAATCAAATTGTCATCTATAGGCCTAATGTTAACATAACAACATCACATGTCCAATAGCACAAAATGCGTGACACAATAATGATTGTGTTGGATTAGGGTTTTCATAGTTAGAATTATTGTTGAATAAAACTCCAAACATGTCCAATTACTTATTTCATTTCATTTATTTCATTTACGTCATTTAGCAGATGCTCTTATCCAGAGCGACTTACAAATATATTTTAAATGCTTAAATGCTTTTTAATTATTTTAAAACATCTAGATTGGCATTATTCTAGATTGCATTATAGTATTATTTGACACAAATCTTGTGCCATTTGCATAGATTGTATTTTACAATTGTAAATTGTTTGAATGCGTAGCGAATAAAGCTGTTATTAGGACCGGGTTTGTAGTTCTAGCGCCGGTCCTTCACGGTGTTTGGACTCTGATCTGTTCCATGTTGAAACATTCAGGCGCGGTTGAAGGATACCTAAAACTGTACTTTTGCCTTCCGCGTTGGCGCCGACTTTTCTCCACGTCAGTTTTGCTTTCTAAACAGATAATATTCTAGCTTTGTTATAGAACACTCATGCAACGTCGACGGTAACTTTTCAGTTATCAAAGAAACAGCTACCAGTCGCAGCGACAATGTCATTAACGTTACTGGAGACGGATGACAGCTATGACTTTGTTTTTAAAATAGTTTTAGTGGGAGATGTAGGTGTTGGCAAAACTTGTGTGGTTCAACGGTTCAAGACTGGCAATTTCATGGAAAGACAAGGAAATACCATCGGAGTGGACTTTACCATGAAGACAATGGATATTCAAGGGAAGAGAGTGAAGGTTAGTAGCTATAGATAATAATAATAATAATAATAATAATAATAATATGCCATTTAGGAGACTATAGATAAAGTAGCCTGATGTGAATTGCCATAGCATAGCCTAGCCTAGGTGACTGTTTCCCAAAGTCAACAATAGACAGTGGCGTGTATTCATGGATGCCGAGGGAAGCCAGGCTTCCCCAAAAAATGGACCCCCCATAATTTCCATTCAATTCGCAAGAGGCTGAATGTAGTCTATCTCACCGGAGAAAGCAACCGACCGAGCGAAACAGTGCCCCTGTGTCTCTGTGTGTGTAGGCCATCTATCTGATGCTGTGTGACATTATTGCCGCCCGTAGCATTGAATCTAAGGGAAGCCAGCGAGCATTTGCAATAGGGTCCAGCTGCGACGTCATCCCTCAGGGGCTCTATACTGCCACCTACTCACTATATATACAACAGTATGTGGACACCCCTTCAAATTAGTTGATTTGGCTATTTCAGCCACACCCGTTGCTGATCGGTGTATAAAATCGAGCACACAGCCATGCAATCTCCATAGACAAACACTGGCAGTAAAGTGGCCTTACTGAATAGCTCAGTGACTTTCAACGTGTTAGGCCCCTTAGTTCCAATGGAGATAAATCTTAACGCTACAGCATACAATGACATTCTAGACAATTCTGTGCTTCCAACTTTGTGGCAACAGTTTGGGGAAGGCCCTTTCCTGCTTCAGCATGACAATGCCCACATGCACAAAGCGAGGTCCATACAGAAATGGTTTGTCATGATCGGTGTGGAAGAACTTGACTGGCCTGCACAGAGCCCTGACCTCAACCCCATCGAACACCTTTGGGATGAATTGGAACGCCGACTGCGAGCCAGGCCTAATCGCCCAACATCAGGGCCCGACCTCACTAATGCTCTTGTGGCTGAATGGAAGCAAGTCCCCCGCAGCAATGTTCCAACATCTAGTGGAAAGCCTTCCCAGAAGAGTGGAGGCTGTTATAGCAGCAAAGGGGGGGACCAACTCCATATTAATGTCCATGATTTAGGAATTAGATGTTCTACAAGTAGGTGTCCACATACTTTTGGTCATGTAGTGTATGTCATCTCTCAGTGCAGTGCATCTCTCAGGAAAAGTGGGTGTTTCGAAAGGAGAGGGCGTGTCGAAAGGAGAGGGCGTGTCGAAAGGAACCATATAAGGAGAAGTGGGCGTTTTGAAAGGAACCATATTTATTATTTATTTTTATTTTACCTTTATTTAACTAGGCAAGTCAGTTAAGAACAAATTCTTATTTACAATGACGGCTTACACTTGATAAAAAAATTATAAAATAATAGCCAATCAGCGTTGAGCTCAACTGTGAATGGTCCTGGTGCACCAAAAAAAAGGTCAAAGGGAAGACAGTTTGGATTTACCGTCACTTCTATCAAATCGCATCGAGATCATAGGTTATTGACAGAAACAACTTGAATTGTTGCATCTTGTTGTGTTGTTGTCCTCTGGTGGCTAGCTAGCTAGCTAAAATTGGCCCTTTCCTAAATTAGCAATGGATGGAGACAGGGATTTGGACTGGTGGTTTTACTTAATTCTCCTTCCTGGCCAGTGATTATAACGGCAATTCTGATCCAACCATTAATCCATACATTGTGCCCCTGGCCTGAGAGGATGGAAGTTCAATATGTAGCTAGAGGTAGAAGGCTAATGTTAACTAGCTGACGTTGCCCATGAAAGGAAGTTAGGCTAGCGAGCAAGCATTTTAGCCAGGTAGCCTAGGACAACAAAAAAATAAAAGTGTGTACTGTATGACAGAGTGACAGACCGTTTCATCAACATGATGGCGTTTCTCTACCAGTAGGGTGAGTCAACATGTTTCTTTCTACTTGCAAGCACACAGACGCACACTCACACACAGAAATCAGAAACATGGACAGCCACATCATATTTAGCTTAGGTTGATTGGACTAAATTGTTTTAGGTATCTTTTGGTTGTCCCTGTATTAGACTAAGCAGAGGTGATTTGATGATGTTGAAATGGAGCTGGAATAGTGGAGGCAGCTCCTGGTTTCTTTGAGACTTGCATTAACCTAACTCTCCGTCCAAGTTCTCCCACTAAAAAGATGAGAGAGGCCTGTAATTTTCATCATAGGTACACGATTGGTGGCTGACTAAATACATTTTTTCCCCACTGTATGTATTTGTTCCCTTCTGGCTTGGCTTCCCCAGGCAATAGGCTACTGTACTGGAGGATATTGGAAATGTCATGACAGGGTTGTTGTTGTTCTCTGCTCCTGTCATGTATGTAAACAAGCACAGCATAAACGTAAGGCTGCTGTAACATGTCAATCTTTCAGTGTGTCAGTCAGCGTGTCTACTGACGTGATATTCCACCTTGTCAATCTAACAACATTTACCATGCCTAGTAGTCTACCTACCACAAGGCAGAGAGCGAGCAAACCTCTCCCTTGTCTGATAATATCACTGTATTGAATGAAAATCAGGACAAACATGTCATATAGTAGGATATATATACTGCTCAAAAAAATTAAGGAAACACTAAAATAACACATCCTAGATCTGAATGAATGAAATAATCTTATTAAATACTTTTTTCTTTACATAGTTGAATGTGCTGACAACAAAATCACACAAAAATTATCAATGGAAATCAAATTTATCAACCCATGGAGGTCTGGATTTGGAGTCACCCTCAAAATTAAAGTGGAAAACCACACTACAGGCTGATCCAACTTTGATGTAATGTCCTTAAAACAAGTCAAAATTAGGCTCAGTAGTGTGTGTGGCCTCCACGTGCCTGTATGACCTCCCTACAATGCCTGGACATGCTCCTGATGAGGTGGCGGATGGTCTCCTGAGGGATCTCCTCCCAGACCTGGGCTAAAGCATCTGCCAACTCCTGGACAGTCTGTGGTGCAACGTGGCGTTGGTGGATGGAGCGAGACATGATGTCCCAGATGTGCTCAATTGGATTCAGGTCTGGGGAACGGGCGGGCCAGTCCATAGCATCAATGCCTTCCTCTTGCAGGAACTGCTGACACACTCCAGCCACATGAGGTCTAGCATTGTCTTGCATTAGGAGGAACCCAGGGCCAACCGCACCAGCATATGGTCTCACAAGGGGTCTGAGGATCTCATCTCGGTACCTAATGGCAGTCAGGCTACCTCTGGCGAGCACATGGAGGGCTGTGCGGCCCCCCAAAGAAATGCCACCCCACACCATGACTGACCCACCGCCAAACCGGTCATGCTGGAGGATGTTGCAGGCAGCAGAACGTTCTCCACGGCGTCTCCAGACTCTGTCACGTCTGTCACGTGCTCAGTGTGAACCTGCTTTCATCTGTGAAGAGCACAGGGCGCCAGTGGCGAATTTGCCAATCTTGGTGTTCTCTGGCAAATGCCAAACGTCCTGCACGGTGTTGGGCTGTAAGCACAACCCCCACCTGTGGACGTCGGGCCCTCATACCACCCTCATGGAGTCTGTTTCTGACCGTTTGAGCAGACACATGCACATTTGTGGCCTGCTGGAGGTCATTTTGCAGGGCTCTGGCAGTGCTCCTCCTGCTCCTCCTTGCACAAAGGCGGATGTAGCGGTCCTGCTGCTGGGTTGTTGCCCTCCTCCACGTCTCCTGAAGTACTGGCCTGTCTCCTGGTAGCGCCTCCATGCTCTGGACACTACGCTGACAGACACAGCAAACCTTCTTGCCACAGCGCGCATTGATGTGCCATCCTGGATGAGCTGCACTACCTGAGCCACTTGTGTGGGTTGTAGACTCCGTCTCATGCTACCACTAGAGTGAAAGCACCGCCAGCATTCAAAAGTGACCAAAACATCAGCCAGGAAGCATAGGAACTGAGAAGTGGTCTGTGGTCACCACCTGCAAAACCAGTCCTTTATTGGGGGTGTCTTGCTAATTGCCTATAATTTCCACCTGTTGTCTATTCCATTTGCACAACAGCATGTGAAATGTATTGTCAATCAGTGTTGCTTCCTAAGTGGACAGTTTGATTTCACAGAAGTGTGATTGACTTGGAGTGACATTGTGTTGTTTAAGTGTTCCCTTTATTTTTTTGAGCAGTGTATATCCTGAACACAGGTGAACATATGGGAGGTTATCAGTCCTATGATGTTTAACAATGTGTCGTGACGTGACTTTAATGTATGGCGGTTATTTATCCAATCACCCAACTTCCTTTAATGTATGACGGTTATTTATCCAATCACCCAACTTCCTTTAATGTATGACGGTTATTTATCCAATCACCCAACTTCCTTTAATGTATGACGGTTATTTATCCAATCACCCAACTTCCTTTAATGTATGACGGTTATTTATCCAATCACCCAACTTTGTTTAATTGTCACTCTGTTAAATTAATCATGTAACAATTAACTCATTATGATTTTAGGACACCACGGAATAAGTTGTTTAACGAGTTACCATCTCCTGAATTAAACTCTTAGAAGACATATGTTATATATATCGATAAGTCACTTATTAAATAATTACCTCTTATCAGTCTCATTCTGAACGTCACATAATCCTTGAACCATAAGAACCCTAACCTTATTGATGAATCAGCAATACACAAATTGGCTTATTTATTTATTTACTAACTAACTAGCTTTTATGAAGGAGCACAGTTAGAAAGATATGGCATATAGAAGCAAACCGGATGGACATCATGAAAATTATCAGAGAGGTTGAGAGTAGAAGTAGTTCAGGAGAAAAAAACAAACAAAATTATAATTATTGTAAAATTGACTGTGTCCATAAAATGTATATAGTATGTATAAGCTGGAAGTAGAGGCCTAGGCGTTGTTGTTCACTAGTTTACTCCAATTAGGGAAGGGGTGGTGGGGTTGGAAAGTAATAGGGGAATATTTTTTTTTTTTTAATGATGTGTGGTGTGTGTGTGTGTATATATGTATATATAACAAACAAACATGGGGGATTGGAAGTGATGCAGACAATTACATTGATGGAAGTTACAATCTATCTGCAATATTAAGCTGATCTTAATATTAAATAAACAAACTAAATAATAACACAATACAAACACACACAGGTTATTGATTACTAACATAATACAATGAAAACAGGTCCCCAGTGGACTGGGCTAACAATAGCATGAATGCTTGGGTAGAAGGAGGGTCAGAATGGAAGGGAGAGACAGAGATTCAAACTATCGTGGTTACTTTGGAAACTACGCTACAGTAATCATAATACTTATGCACCCTAATAACGCTCATTCGGATTAGAAATGCAACATGTATTTACGTGTTGCTGTCCTCGGTAGTTGGGTTACATTTACATTTACATTTTAGTCATTTAGCAGACGCTCTTATCCAGAGCGACTTACAGTTAGTGAATACATATATATATTTTTTTATACTCCCCCCCCCCCGTGGGAATCGAACCCACAACCCTGGCGTTGCAAACGCCATGCTCTATCAACTGAGCTACATCCCTGCCGGCCATTCCCTCCCCTACCCTGGAGGACGCTGGGCCAACTGTGCGCTGCCCCATGGGTCTCCCGGTCGCGGCCGGCTGCGACAGAGCCTGGATTCGAACCAGGATCTCTAGTGGCACAGTTTGCACTGCGATGCAGTGCCTTAGACCACTGCGCCACTCAGGAGTCGATGATGTAGGACTCTGGTTTGCCCACCAGAGATCCCAATGTCCTTGGTAGAGTTTCTGGTCATAGTCGTGGTTAGAATTGATACTTCACATGTACCAGCGGTTGTCCTTCCCACTTCGTGTCTTTAGTGAAAGTTCTCTAGACGACTATACATGCCAGCTGCAGACTGAGATGATAAGGTCTAGTACATTGTCTCCTTCTTCACCTCGTGTAGAGGTTGAGAGTTTCAGAGTTTCTCCATTTCAAACGTGTGGACTAACGTCTCATGTTTTTCTGGTCTTTCTGGTCTTGTAGAAATTCAACCATTTTGTAACGTTTAGCTCACGCTTCATATCTGCTGGTCTGAGGTGAATTTCGAGGCTTTTTATGCCCTCTGGGTAAAAGGGGCGTTGCATGATGTTTGTGCTCATCTGGGCGTGGCCACTGACTTCATCTGGGCGTGGCCACTGACTTCATCTGGGCGTGGCCACTGACTTCATCTGGGCGTGGCCACTGACTGAGAATAAATCAATATGGGAACCAATCATCTCATCTAGAATGCTAACATCACATTGTTGTTTCACAAAATTATTGTTATACTTAATCATTCGTTTTATACAACAATTAGATGGGCTCCCGAGTGGCGCAGCGGTCTAAGGCACTGCATCTCAGTGCTTGAGGCGTCACTACAGACCCCCTGGTTCGATTCCAGGCTGTATCACAACCGGCCGTGATTGGGAGACCCATAGGGCGGCGCACAATTGGCCCAGCGTCGTCCGGGTTTGGCCGGTGTAGGCCGTCATTGTAAATAAGAATTTGTTCTAAACTGACTTGCCTAGTTAAATAAAGGTAAAAAATAATAAAAATAATAACTGGAAAGTGTACCCCCCCAGAGATACAGTTATGTTGTTCCACCGTCTTTAATGACATCACAACATGTCACAACAGGTAACTGTCAGATAACTGTGGGATAACTCTGCGATAACCCTGGGTTTGGGTTAGGGATAACTCTGTGAAATAACCCTGGGTTTGGGTTAGGGTTAACTCTGGGTTTGGGTTAGGGATAACTCTGTGAAATAACCCTGGGTTTGGGTTAGGGTTAACTCTGTGAGATAACCCTGGGTTTGGGTTAGGGATAACTCTGTGAGATAACCCTGGGTTTGGGTTAGGGTTAACTCTGTGAGATAACCCTGGGTTTGGGTTAGGGTTAACTCTGTGAGATAACCCTGGGTTAGGGTTAACTCTGTGAGATAACCCTGGGTTAGGGTTAACTCTGTGAGATAACCCTGGGTTAGGGTTAACTCTGTGAGATAACCCTGGGTTTGGGTTAGGGATAACCCTGGGTTTGGGTTAGGGATAACTCTGTGAAATAACCCTGGGTTAGGGTTAACTCTGAGATAACCCTGGGTTTGGGTTAGGGTTAACTCTGTGAGATAACCCTGGGTTAGGGTTAACTCTGTGAGATAACCCTGGGTTTGGGTTAGGGATAACTCTGTGAAATAACCCTGGGTTTGGGTTAGGGTTAACTCTGTGAGATAACCCTGGGTTTGGGTTAGGGATAACCCTGGGTTTGGGTTAGGGATAACTCTGTGAAATAACCCTGGGTTTGGGTTAGGGTTAACTCTGTGAGATAACCCTGGGTTTGGGTTAGGGTTAACTCTGTGAGATAACCCTGGGTTTGGGTTAGGGTTAACTCTGTGAGATAACCCTGGGTTTGGGTTAGGGTTAACTCTGTGCGATAACCCTGGGTTAGGGTTAACTCTGTGAGATAACCCTGGGTTAGGGTTAACTCTGTGAGATAACCCTGGGTTTGGGTTAGGGTTAACTCTGTGAGATAACCCTGGGTTAGGGTTAACTCTGTGAGATAACCCTGGGTTAGGGTTAACTCTGTGAGATAACCCTGGGTTAGGGTTAACTCTGTGAGATAACCCTGGGTTTGGGTTAGGGTTAACTCTGTGAGATAACCCTGGGTTAGGGTTAACTCTGTGTTGTGTGTGTGGTTGTCCAGCTGCAGATCTGGGACACGGCGGGCCAGGAACGTTTCAGGACGATCACCCAGAGTTATTACCGCAGCACCAACGGAGCCGTCATTGCCTATGACATCACTAAGAGAGGAACCTTCATGGCCGTGCCCAAGTGGATGGAGGACGTTAAGAAATACGGAGGGTCAAACATTGTACCCCTGCTCATCGGTTAGTTATTAGGGTCACAACCTGCTCATCGGTTAGTTACTAGGGTCACAACCTGCTCATCGGTTGGTTATGTTTAGAATAAGGGTTAGGGTAAGGGTTAAGTTTAGGGTTAGAGCTAGGGTTAGGGTTAGTATATAGGTAGTTGAAATGTTACTGACTGGCCCCTATGGACTGACTGGCCCCTATGGACTGACTGACTGGCCCCTATGGACTGACTGACTGGCTGACTGACTGGCCCCTATGGACTGACTGACTGGCTGACTGACTGGCCCCTATGGACTGACTGACTGGCTGACTGACTGGCCCCTATGGACTGACTGACTGGCTGACTGACTGGCCCCTATGGACTGACTGACTGGCCCCTATGGACTGACTGACTGGCTGACTGACTGGCCCCTATGGACTGACTGGCTGACTGACGTACTGGCCCCTATGGACTGACTGGCTGACTGACGTACTGGCCCCTATGGACTGACTGGCCCCTATGGACTGACTGACTGGCCCCTATGGACTGACTGACTGGCTGACTGACTGGCCCCTATGGACTGACTGACTGGCCCCTATGGACTGACTGACTGGCTGACTGACTGGCCCCTATGGACTGACTGACTGACTGACTGGCTGACTGACTGGCCCCTATGGACTGACTGACTGGCTGACGTACTGGCCCCTATGGACTGACTGACTGGCCCCTATGTGCTGACTGGCTGACTGACGTACTGGCCCCTATGGACTGACTGGCTGACTGACGTACTGGCCCCTATGGACTGACTGACTGGCCCCTATGGACTGACTGGCTGACTGACGTACTGGCCCCTATGTGCTGACGTACTGGCCCCTATGTGCTGACTGGCTGACTGACTGGCCCCTATGGACTGACTGGCTGACTGACGTACTGGCCCCTATGGACTGACTGACTGGCTGACGTACTGGCCCCTATGGACTGACTGACGTACTGGCCCCTATGGACGGACTGACTGACTGACTGACATACTGGCCCCTATGGACTGACTGACTGACTGACTGACTGGCCCCTATGGACTGACTGACTGGCTGACTGACTGGCCCCTATGGACTGACTGACTGGCTGACGTACTGGCCCCTATGGGCTGACTGACATACTGGCCCCTATGTGCTGACTGGCTGACTGACTGGCCCCTATGGACTGACTGGCTGACTGACGCACTGGCCCCTATGGACTGACTGGCTGACTGACGCACTGGCCCCGATGTGCTGACGTACTGGCCCCTATGGACTGACTGGCTGACTGACGTACTGGCCCCTATGGACTGACTGGCTGACTGACCTACTGGCCCCTATGTGCTGACGTACTGGCCCCTATGTGCTGACGTACTGGCCCCTATGGACTGACTGGCTGACTGGCGTACTGGCCCCTATGGACTGACTGGCTGACTGACGCACTGGCCCCTATGTGCTGACTGGCTGACTGATGTACTGGCCCCTATGGACTGACTGACTGACTGACTGGCCCCTATGGACTGACTGACTGGCTGACTGACTGGCCCCTATGGACTGACTGGCTGACTGACGTACTGGCCCCTATGGACTGACTGACTGGCTGACGTACTGGCCCCTATGGACTGACTGACGTACTGGCCCCTATGGACTGACTGACTGACTGACGTACTGGCCCCTATGGACTGACTGACTGACTGACTGGCCCCTATGGACTGACTGACTGGCTGACTGACTGGCCCCTATGGACTGACTGACTGGCTGACGTACTGGCCCCTATGGACTGACTGGCTGACTGACGTACTGGCCCCTATGTGCTGACTGGCTGGCCCCTATGGACTGACTGGCTGATTGACGTACTGGCCCCTATGGACTGACTGGCTGACTGACGTACTGGCCCCTATGTGCTGACGTACTGGCCCCTATGTGCTGACGTACTGGCCCCTATGGACTGACTGGCTGAGTGACGTACTGGCCCCTATGGACTGACTGGCTGACTGACGTACTGGCCCCTATGTGCTGACGTACTGGCCCCTATGGACTGACTGACTGGCTGACGTACTGGCCCCTATGGACTGACTGGCTGAGTGACGTACTGGCCCCTATGGACTGACTGGCTGACTGACGTACTGGCCCCTATGTGCTGACGCACTGGCCCCTATGGACTGACTGGCTGACTGACGTACTGGCCCCTATGTGCTGACTGGCTGACTGACTGGCCCCTATGGACTGACTGGCTGACTGACGTACTGGCCCCTATGGACTGACTGACGTACTGGCCCCTATGGACTGACTGGCTGACTGACGTACTGGCCCCTATGTGCTGACTGACGTACTGGCCCCTATGGACTGACTGGCTGACTGACGTACTGGCCCCTATGGACTGACTGACGTACTGGCCCCTATGGACTGACTGGCTGACTGACGCACTGGCCCCTATGTGCTGACTGGCTGACTGACGCACTGGCCCCTATGGACTGACTGGCTGACTGACGCACTGGCCCCTATGGACTGACTGGCTGACTGACGTACTGGCCCCTATGTGCTGACGTACTGGCCCCTATGGACTGACTGGCTGATTGACGTACTGGCCCCTATGTGCTGACGTACTGGCCCCTATGGACTGACTGACTGACTGACGTACTGGCCCCTATGGACTGACTGGCTGATTGACGTACTGGCCCCTATGTGCTGACGTACTGGCCCCTATGGACTGACTGACGTACTGGCCCCTATGTGCTGACGTACTGGCCCCTATGGACTGACTGACTGACTGACGTACTGGCCCCTATGGACTGACTGGCTGACTGACGTACTGGCCCCTATGGACTGACTGACGTACTGGCCCCTATGTGCTGACGTACTGGCCCCTATGGACTGACTGGCTGATTGACGTACTGGCCCCTATGTGCTGACGTACTGGCCCCTATGGACTGACTGACTGACTGACGCACTGGCCCCTATGTGCTGACTGGCTGACTGACGCACTGGCCCCTATGGACTGACTGGCTGACTGACGTACTGGCCCCTATGTGCTGACGTACTGGCCCCTATGGACTGACTGGCTGACTGACGCACTGGCCCCTATGGACTGACTGGCTGATTGACGTACTGGCCCCTATGGACTGACTGGCTGATTGACGTACTGGCCCCTATGTGCTGACGTACTGGCCCCTATGGACTGACTGGCTGACTGACGCACTGGCCCCTATGGACTGACTGGCTGATTGACGTACTGGCCCCTATGTGCTGACGTACTGGCCCCTATGGACTGACTGGCTGACTGACGCACTGGCCCCTATGGACTGACTGGCTGACTGACGCACTGGCCCCTATGGACTGACTGGCTGACTGACGTACTGGCCCCTATGGACTGACTGGCTGGCTGACTGACTGGCCCCTATGGACTGACTGGCTGACTGACGCACTGGCCCCTATGGACTGACTGGCTGATTGACGTACTGGCCCCTATGTGCTGACGTACTGGCCCCTATGGACTGACTGGCTGACTGACGCACTGGCCCCTATGGACTGACTGGCTGACTGACGTACTGGCCCCTATGGACTGACGTACTGGCCCCTATGGACTGACTGACTGGCTGACTGACGTACTGGCCCCTATGGACTGACTGGCTGACTGACGCACTGGCCCCTATGGACTGACTGGCTGACTGACGCACTGGCCCCTATGGACTGACTGGCTGACTGACGCACTGGCCCCTATGGACTGACTGGCTGACTGACGCACTGGCCCCTATGGACTGACTGGCTGACTGACGCACTGGCCCCTATGGACTGACTGGCTGACTGACGCACTGGCCCCTATGTGCTGACGTACTGGCCCCTATGGACTGACTGGCTGACTGACGCACTGGCCCCTATGTGCTGACTGGCTGACTGACGTACTGGCCCCTATGGACTGACTGACGTACTGGCCCCTATGGACTGACTGACTGACTGACGTACTGGCCCCTATGGACTGACTGGCTGACTGACGCACTGGCCCCTATGGACTGACTGACTGACTGACGTACTGGCCCCTATGGACTGACTGGCTGACTGACGTACTGGCCCCTATGTGCTGACGTACTGGCCCCTATGGACTGACTGACTGATTGACTGACTCTGCAACAGCTAATGGGAATCCTAATAAAATATAAAAAATACAAAATACCCCATTGTGTCCTCACCACCTCTCCTCTTCCCCCCTCTCTCCTCCTCCCCTCCTCTCTCCTCCTCTCATCTCCCCTCACCACCTCTCCTCTTCCCCCCTCACTCCTCCTCCCCCTCTCCCCTCCCCTCTACCTGTCCTCCTCTCCCCTCCCCTCTACCTGTCCTCCTCTCCTCCTCCCCTCTCTCCTCCTCCCCCTCCCCTCCCCTCCTCCCCTCTCTCCTCCTCTCCCCTCCCCTCCCCTCCTCTTCTCACCTCTCTTCCTCTCCTCTGTCCTCCTCTTTCCTCAGGGAATAAGTCTGACCTGGTGGATCAGCGTGAGGTGTCGTTAGAAGATGCCCAGACCATGGCCCACCAGCTGGAGTTCCTGACGGCCATCGAGACGTCGGCTAAAGACGCCTCCAATGTGGACGAGGCCTTTAACAAGATGGCCGCCGAGCTCATCCTGCGCCACGGGGGACCCATGTTCAACGAGAACGTCACGGAAAGCTTCAAACTCAACAGCAAAGACATGGGCGGAGAGGGCTGGCGCTGTGGCTGCTGATAGGAGGTTGAGAGAGGACTGTACATGTTGATAATTCAACAGTTTTGCACCAGCTGGGACTGCGGATAGTGACCAACAGGTTGTGTTGTGAAGAACATTATATTTGTTTTATTCTGTTTCAGGGACCAGTTGAGATACTTTTTGATGTAGCAATACCTGTCTTATATTGGGGGGGGGGGGATGTTAAATCTATCACTTCATACGGTGTGGCTGCCTGGCAGGCACAGATGATTATTGAACCAGACTTAAATGTCACTGCGGAAAAAAGAAAAATGTTTAAGAAGGTCTGCAGACAGAGAGTGGTTCCGATCACACAGCGTCTCTGGGCCTTTTAGAAGGAAGGACTCCATGTTGTTGTTGTTCAGGCTGTGGAAGGGGAAGGGCCTTGTTCTGTATGTGGAAGGGCCTTGTTCTGTATGTGGAAGGGCCTTGTTCTGTATGTGGAAGGGCCTTGTTCTGTATGGGGAAGGGCCTTGTTCTGTATGTGGAAGGGCCTTGTTCTGTATGTGGAAGGGCCTTGTTCTGTATGTGGAAGGGCCTTGTTCTGTATGTGGAAGGGCCTTGTTCTGTATGAGGAAGGGCCTTGTTCTGTATGTGGAAGGGCCTTGTTCTGTATGGGGAAGGGCCTTGTTCTGTATGGGGAAGGGCCTTGTTCTGTATGTGGAAGGGCCTTGTTCTGTATGTGGAAGGGCCTTGTTCTGTATGTGGAAGGGCCTTGTTCTGTATGTGGAAGGGCCTTGTTCTGTATGTGGAAGGGCCTTGTTCTGTATGTGGAAGGGCCTTGTTCTGTATGTGGAAGGGCCTTGGTCTTGTTCTGTAAACAGTATTACAGTGTAGGAGCTGTATAAACCTGCTCAGCAAGGTGACCATTTTTAGCCAAGTCATGACCGTAGTGATGATGTTTTTATGGGGAGGACAGAGTACATACACGTACCATAGGCTTTGATATTTTTGCACAGTGATTATTGTTAGAAATTGTCCTGCCATGTTTAAAGTTGTGCGGTATGTCAAGGAGAGGTGCATGGTGTGCCTAGTGTTGCATATCTGAGTGTAATCTTGATTCTGAATGCTTGTTGAACCTTGACCCAATAACACAGTGTCATCCTGTGAAGACTACAGGAGCATACAGTGCATTGGGAAAGTATTCAGACCCCTTGACTTTTTCCACATTTTGTTACGTTACAGCCTTATTCTAAAATTGATGAAATAAAAAATGTTCCTCAATCTACACACAATACCCCATAATGACAAAGCAAAAACAGGTTTTTAGAAATATTTGCAAATACCTTATTTACATAAATATTCAGACCCTTTGCTATGTCACTCGAAATGAACCCTAACCCTAACCCATCCTGTTCCATTGATCATTCTTGAGATGTTTCTACAACTTGATTGGAGTCCACCTATGGTAAATTCAATTGATTAGACATGATTTGGAAAGGCACACACCTGTCTATATAATGTCCCACAGTTGACAGTGCATGTCAGAGCAAAAACCAAGCCATGAGGTCAAAGGAATTGTCCGTAGAGCTCCGAGACATGATTTTGTCGAGGCACAGATCTGGGGAAGGGTACCAAAAAATGTCTGCAGCGTTGAAGGTCCCCAAGAACACAGTGGCCTCCATCATTCTTAAATGGAAGCTGTTTGGAACCACAAAGACTCTTCCTAGAGCTGGCCGCCCAGCCAAACTGAGCAATCGGGGGAGAAGGGCCTTGGTCAGGGAGGTGACCAAGAACCCGATGGTCACTCTGACAGACCTCCAGAGTTCCTGTGTGGAGATGGGAGAACCTTCCAGAAGGACAACCATCTCTGCAGAGCGGCCAGACGGCACCTAAAGGACTCTCAGAACACGAGAAACAAGACTCTCTGATCTGATGAAAACAAGATTGAACTCTTTGGCCTGAATGCCAAGCGTCACGTCTGAAGGAAACCTGGCACCATCCCTACGGTGAAGCATGGTGGTGGCAGCAGACCTGAAAATAGCTGTGCAGCGACGCTCCCCATCCATCCTGGCAGAGCTTGAGAGGATCTGCAGAGAAGAATGGGAGAAACTCCCCAAATACAGGTGTGCCAAGCTTGTAGCGTCATACCCAAGAAGACTTGAGGCTGTAATCGCTGCCAAAGGTGTTTCAACAAAGTACTAAGTAAAGGGTCTGAATACTTATGTAAATTGAATATTTACTTTTTTTTTTTAATATATAAGTTTGAAACATTTTCTAAAAACCTGTTTTTGCTTTGTCATTATGGGGTGTTGGGTGTAGATTTGATGAGGGGGAAACAACAATGTAATCCATGTTAGAATAAGGCTGTAACGTAACAAAATGTGGAAAAAGTCAAGGGGTCTGAATACTTTCCCAATGCACTGTATATGTTGTACTGGGGGAAGGTTAGGTTGTTTTATATCTGTCAGGCTTGTAGGTGGAATGCAAGGGTTGTGAATCAACTTTCTCTATAGTACCTTTTATGGGACTGTACATTCTGAAGGAGTTCAATGGATTTCGATCACACCTGTCAAATACCTTTTTGAAATGTGCAAGTTAAAGTATATATCCAGTTTTATAATACAAAATCAATTTCAGGAACGTATGCCACATTTAATAACTTGCTTGAAATGGTATCTGAAACATTGTTATTTTGATACTGTTAGTATGCCTGTCGACGTGAACATACTGTATATGGATGTAGTGGAAGGGTCATGATGGAAGATATGGTGAAGAGATGACTGATATTCTAGATCGGACCGGATCCGGAAACAGAACCGGGTCTAGTTGGTATTTATGTCCGTTAGCCGCTGCATCAGTTACTCTTCCTGGGGTCCAGATGAAACATTATATAATACATCGTACAGAACATTATTAGTCAAGGACTGAAATACATACATTTAAAACATCACACATAGCTTACATATCAGTACATACACACACTATATAGGTCTAATATATAGTACAGTGTATATTACAATACAATATATATCAAATGGCTGTGTCTCTTCAGTCCCCTTTGTGCAGTAACGTGTTATTTTATCTGGTTTTTTAACTGGTTTTATTGCTAGCTTGAGTTACCTGGGGTGGCAGAGAGCTCCATGTAGTCATGGCTCTATTTAATACTGCTAGCTGGAGTTACCTGGGGTGGCAGAGAGCTCCATGTAGTCATGGCTCTATTTAATACTGCTAGCTTGAGTTACCTGGGGTGGCAGAGAGCTCCATGTAGTCATGGCTCTATTTAATACTTTCCCAACATCTGTTCTAAACTTGGGGACTATGAAGAGACCTCTGGTTGCATGTCTTGTGTTGTACCGATGAGAGTCCAAACTGTGTGCCAACTGCTTGAACAGACAGTTCGGTACCTTCAACACATCAATACCCCACACAAAGACCAATAGTGATGCAGTCAAGCTCTCCTCAACTTTGAGCCAGGAGAGACTGACATGCATGTTACTGACACTTTCCCCCCGTTTACATCCAAGTGTGATACATGCTGCTTTGTTCTGGACCAACTGCAATTTAGCTATGTCCTTAATAATAATAATAATAATTATTATTATTAGCTATGTCCTTCTTTGATGCACATGACCACAGTACAGACTGTCGGGTCCCAAAAAAAACTATCAGGAATTCAGTCGGAATTTGACTCCTGGTATCATATGAACACACATACGACATGGCATAATGTGTAGAATTGCAGGAAATTAACTTTAAAACTGCTAATTTTTCTCTCTGCCAACAATTGTTTTTTTTAAAAACCGTTTTTGGTCGCATGGGTTGTTGTGAGGTAGGGGTTTTGCTAAGTCGATAAATGACCATTTCAATCCGGACCTTTGCCACCTAGGAAATTTGCGTGACCGGACCTTCTCAAATAGTATTTGAGAAGCCCTGTTCTAGATGAACAGAGGGCTTTTCTCTGTTATAGAGTTGTGGAGAGAGATATGATGACAGGAGAGCAACTACAGCATTGAATCATAACGTGTAACTATTCAGTTATTCCACGTCTTTATATGAGGGTGATGTCATCAGTGAATGTTTGTTTTTGATCTTTGTATTATGAGATATGCTGAACATGATCTGTTCATATTGAATTAAATGTCATTTTCTTTGGTTTGAGGGTTGAAGTACTAATGGTGGACTCGTGAGGGGAAACCAGTTCAGGTTATTTGTCTTTTATTAACAACAGCAAATTAGATAAATATTGCAAATCTTAACTTGTTAATAAGATAGATATCATAGCCTATACATACAGTGACGTCACCTCTGGCCCTGTTTATACCTGCTGCTAACACGTCCTTCGTCCGGATCTTGCCTGTTTACACTTATAAGATCTGACCAAAATCAGTTCACAATGCGTTTTTTAATCGTCTACACCTGTCTCAAAATGTGGACACAATAAGAATGTGGACAAGATCAGGACAAAGGACGGAAATTAGAACCAGGTATAAACGTGGCTGATGTGCCATTATCACAGTATCTGTCTTCAATTAAGTTACAATATCTGTAATCCATATAAATACCTTGACATTTCTTACATTTGTTAACTTAACGTTTTATACATGGAAAAGATTATTACATATTGACAATTCATACAATGAAATAAAGTAATATACATGCATACATTGCAGATCCTATGAGATGCAAACATATGTACTTAGTTTAAGTATAAAATATATTTCAGCTTATTTACAAGTTAAGGCACTATAAAACAAAACCATACCACAATGATTGGATGGTATCACTGATTGGATGGTATCACTGATTGGATGGTATCACTGATTGGATGTATCACTGATTGGATGGTATCACTGATTGGATGGTATCACTGATTGGATGTATCACTGCACGTACAGGACAGGATAGTTCTAGAACACTATGCTTTAGTTTCTGATGGCATGACCTGACATGAATAGTCCATATGAAACCATTATCTGACCAGGGACTATCTGCTCATATGAAACCATTATCTGACCTGACATGGATAGTCCATATGAAACCATTATCTGACCTGACATGGATAGTGCATATGAAACCATTATCTGACCTGACATGAATAGTCCATATGAAACCATTATCTGACCTGACATGGATAGTGCATATGAAACCATTATCTGACCTGACATGAATAGTGCTTATGAAACCATTATCTGACCTGACATGAATAGTGCATATGAAA